TYMRSCYTTTWWTYYWWTTWAAAAAWTTTAAATGAATTCAAATGGTTTGCGCAAATTACATTACAAAACAAAGTAAGTTATCGATATCATCTGGTGCTTGAAGTATTCGACGCCATCWTGAAAMRMCCCACAAATTGAATGAAAGATAATGAACAATKTTTACACTGACTCTTGATTTGTCATTATGAGCTAAAATAAAACATAATGTCTTGCACATAATTGATGCTGAAACTATAAATCAACTACATCACTCTAGCCGTGGTAGTCCAAGTAGKTCTTGAMATGCTGAGCGCTTTKCACATGGGAATAACAACAGATGACATTTTGCCTAGYCTGARTATCTCCGCCCTAATCCCCTTCGAGAGAGCCTGATAATCAGGCTACATTTTGCCATCATATATTGCCATCACTTCAAACTTCAAATAACTAAATTCATAGGCCTTTTCTTACCTCCATTGAAACATGGTTTGTTYTGACAATCATCAATGTCMGTCTCACACTGGGTGCCATTATAKCCATCKACACATTGACAGGTGTAACCGTTTACAGCGTCAACGCACGTCCCGCCATTTTTACAAGGMCCACTTGCGCACTCATCGATATTCTTGTCACAGAACTGACCTGTGAAACCCGGTGCACAGGTACAAGTGTATTGGTTGACGAGATTCTGACAAACATTTGTTAAAGAATTAGTGTTAATTTTTGTGAAAGGTATGAATTATTTTTAATGAAGAAAACGGCACACTGAACATGTCGAATTTCAGGGTGTTATTGGAAACGGGGAGAGACTAAAAGACAGGAAAAAAGTCAGCGAAGTAGTACTTACATTACAAGTCGCACCATTGAGACACTTATTAGTCAAACATTCATCAATATCTAACATAATTATGGAAATGAAATAGCWCATTAGTGAAAGAGAAATTCAAAATGAAAAACACCTGAACAACGACAACAAAAATAACCACACACTTAGAAATACATTTACAATGATAGATAATAGTACCTTTGTCACAGTTTGTCCCTGTGTATCCTGGTTTGCATTTACAGGAATAGTGGGTGTAGAAATTGGTGCAGGTTCCACCATTTGCRCATGGATTTGTTTTACACAAATCATTCTCTAAAATACAATGAATGCATGTTTTATATTACGCGCCGTTACATATTTCAAAGAACACTTATAAATTAAATTAAACATTATCAAATAGCCTTCAATTTCAAGAATCTGTTTGTAATTACAATGCTGCCGCATACCTGATTCGCAGTCTTTYCCCGTGTATTTCGGGAGACAGTTACATTTATATTTGTCAGGCCCAACATTAATACAGGTKCCGAGATTCTTGCACGGGGTGTGTCGACAATAGTTCAAATCTKAAGGCAGAAAAATCAGATCATAAAAAAATTATTAATCTATCAGGATATTTTATTCATCGCAACCATCATCTCGAAATGCTTGCCGACCGAAAAAAAAGTGTTGTGTGACATTGGTTAATAACTCTTGGGTAAAGTTGCGTGACAAATTAATACAGGCTACACTTAGCTTTCTTACCTTTATCACAGTCGTTGCCAGTCCACTCCGCTTTACATCGACACTCTCCGGGATTGACGCAGTACCCACCGTCTGTATGCGTAGTAATGATGTCAGAATCAACAATGACGAAACAAAATGACGTAATAGTGACGCAATAGTGACATARCTATCAAAAATGACGTCACAATCAACGATGAGATATAAATGACGCTATAATCAATAATGACATCCAATAATGACCAAGATAAATGATCAATAATGATCACAATGAATATATCTATTCAATTAGCAGTCTTACTTGTATTGCATGTTGGACTTGGTTTGCAGCTTGAGCAATCAGAACCCTGCCATCCAGTTTTGCACCTTGAAATCACAAATAATGTTAGATAAACATATTAAATGTAAATAAAATGTCTGTCCAGATGTATCGTCAAATTAGTTTTAGGTTGCGTCCATTCGTATCCAACTRCATTCGTGAATTTTCAGTCTGGAAGCACGTGAAAACGCTCCGAATACAGATACGTGCGGACTCAAATGATGACTTTCCACAACTCCTAGCGCTACGGTAATTCGCTTTAAACCAGATAAAGATCGGTGTTAGTTACTTACAGACATTCCTTGGGTTTGTTGCAATAACCATGGTATTTATTGCATCCCTGTTTACAAATTGCTGTTTAAAAAACGAGAAAACTGTAAGTCGGCTATAGGAAATATGGTTTTTAAAGTACATAACTAGACCACGAGGTCGAGTGGACTACGAGTTGATAGTCCATTGAGCTGTAACTCGTTTGTACTCCGCGAGACCGAGTACTGGTCTAACTGTGCAAGACAGATTTGAAAAAAGAACACACACAAAACACAAAAACTTTACTCGACATCTTTTCGACTTTTCACTTTTGTTGATCAGTAGCCAATCAGAATGCTGCGTCACTGTAAGTCCATATTTTGGTGTATTATACAGAATAGACGGGGGGAGGCTGCGGGTCGATGTGAGACTCGTTACCAACCTGTTTTACAGTTCGTACTCTGCCATCCTTGACGACAAATCTTGTTGCCATTGCTGTCACATGTGTAGTGTCCGTTGGTGTTATCGTCGTGTGGTACGCAATATGTATTGCAGTCAGTTCCATAGTAATGTGTCTCACAATAGACTTTCACTARAATCCTGATAGATGAACGGCGGCCACTTATCTGATCAAATATGGACATCGTGTGAACTATACATTGAAAAAGCTACCATGCAAGCCANTTATTTTAAGGATATTTCAATTTGTTTTCATTATTTGACCGATTAGTATGTTTATACTAAAACAATTAGACCTCTCGGCCTCGTGGACTACGAGCTAATAGCCCATTCGGCCTCGCGGACTCGGCCTCATGGGCTATTAGCTCGTAGTCCACTCGACCTCGAGGTCTAATATGAATATAACAAAATCAACAAATTTATGATAGTTTCCCATTCATGGTGGATGAAGATGAAGACTACAATCCAGAAGAGATGTCACCAACTGGGTGGATGGTTGTTTACCACACAGACGGATTCTGATTTTACTAGGACATGAGCACAGATATATGCCAAGAACAAAAGAAAAAACAAATTAATGAAGTCAAGCACGTGGAAAAAGACATAGAGACAAATTCCAATAAGCAATATAAGAAAAAAAACATAAGCTAAATCATTAAAGTTAAAGCTTATGAATGCACGTTTTCCGGCCAAAACAATACTGCTAAATGCTTTATTATTTTAGCTTAGATTTTAAAATTAAAGCGCTTCTTTGGATTAATTAAGTTCTTTTTTCATTCACTCACCTTTCCTTTTCCTGGATGTTACGGAGAAAGATTAGTTTATGATCCAAGTTGTAGTCAAGTAGAATATGGATAGATCAGATCCTTAAACACGCAGCTAGGCCAGTTAATAGATCTTTTGAGTGCCTTCATTTGAAGCCTTAACCATCGAAAGACTAACGTTTCGCTATATCTTGAAATATGCACTTTTTCTGCCACACTTAAGTACAAATCACTGCTTTTAAGCAAATGGAATGACCGCCAATTTGGATTTTCAAATAATTTATTCACCTCGCTTTGGAGTTTTTGCATAAGTTTTATTTGCATGTTTTAAGATAAAAAAAAAATGGAAAGTCAATGTAACGATTTTACCGGCTTGTTTTATTCGAGAATCCTTGCAAAACTACGTAAATTTACTGTAAATTCTAGATGTAAATTGCATTCACAACAAATTTACACACAATTTACGTACTGTAAATATTCGGTAAAATTTGTGTCAATGAAACTCTGTAAATATCGCGTAAATCTGAATTTGCAGGTTATTTACAGAATTTTGGTCGACAGATACAGGAAATTTACATACTTTGTAAATATCCCGTAAATCGCATTTACATCCATTTTCCAGCATATTTACAGGGCTCCCAGCGCTCTATTTTTTCCAGTGACTTAGTTGTGTGACATAGGTAACTCTTGTGTAAAGTGATGTTGCGTGACAATTGATTCAGGACAGTATTCTGAAAGAGAAAGTGAAAAGACACGCAGTTTCTATACCTTTGTCACAGTCGTCGCCAGTCCACTCCGGTTTACATCGACACTCTCCGGGATTGACGCAGTACCCACCGTCTGTATGCGTAGTAATGATGTCAGAATCAACAAGACGAAATACATTGAAGTAATAGGGACATAATAGTGACATAACTATCAAAATGACGTCACAATTAACAGTGAGATATTAATATATATGACGTCATAATTGATAATGACCTCACAATCAATACATATGTCAGAATCAATAACGGCCAAATACTGAATACAGCAAATTTTTGAATTACATTTTATAAACTATAAATTTACCAGTACGATTCAAGATTTCTTTCAATAATTTACGCTAAATAGACGTTGTGATATTGTATTCCTAAGGACATTAATGACCTTAATAATGCTTAATATATATCATTCACATCAATGATCATCACTTTAATTTATAATGTTGCAGCTGTGTGTATATTAATCATTTTCTAAAGCATCTATTGCCAAAAGATGTTGTCTAACTAAACCTAAAAAAAATCAATATATTTATTAAGTTGCATTCCTTACTTGTATTGCATGTTGGACTAGGTTTGCAGCTTGAACAATTAGGACCCTGCCATCCAGTTTTGCACCTTGAAATCACAAATAAAGTTCGACAAATGTAAATAACAAATGCCTGTACAGATGTATCGTCAAATTAGTTTTTACGGATCAACTGGTTGCGTCCACGTACGTATCTACCCTGCGAGCAGAGTGTATTTTCTTACCTTGAGGTAAGGAAATACACTCTGCTCGCAGGGTAGTACGTATCCAACTGCATCGTGTATTTTTCGTTTTTCAGACTGGATTCCAGGAAGTACGTGTACTAAATGCTCCGAATACAGATACGTGGCGGACTCAAATGATGACTTCCCTACTCATTCCCTGATGATGCCGTAGACGGCGAAAGCTCGGATTCATAACTCAAAACATCTCATTCCATAGCAGACAAGGCTACATTTGTCAAAACCCTCACTCATCATGCTGCTAAAGGATAATTTCCTTCGTTTAACAACTCGTAGCTTTACAATAATTTGCCTAAACCAGATAAAGAGGTTACTTACAAACATTCATTGGATTTGTTGCAATAACCATGATATTTACTACATCCCTCTTTACAAATTGCTGTTTTAAAAACAAGAAAACTGTTAGTCGACTATAGAAAATATGGTTTTGAAATTACTTAACAATAGACCACGAGGTTGAGTGGACTACGTCGGAGTTAATTGATAGCCCATTGAGCCGTAACTTGTAACTCCACGAGACCGAGTGTTCTAACTGTATAAGACAGATTTGAAAAGAGAACACACACACACAAAAACTTTCCTAGACATTTTTTTCGACTGTGCACATTTTTCACATGTGTAGACCATGGTATAACATCAATAGACTGTATTTCAGTAGCCAATCAGAATGCTGCGCTACTGCTAGTCCATATTTTAGTGTATTATACTATAAGACGACCAGTAGAAGAGACGGGGAGACTGGGTCGATGTCAGACTAGTTACCAACCGTCGTGTGGTTCGCGATATGTATTGCAGTCAGTTCCATAGTAATGTGTCTCACAGTAGACTTTCACTAAAATCCTGATAGATGAACGGCGGCCACTTAACTGATGATGAAATATGGACATCGTGTGAACTATACATTTAATTCCCAACCAACCAACCAACCAACCAACCCACCAACCAACCAACCAACCAACCAACCAACCAACCAACCAACCAACCCACCAACCCACCAACCCACCAACCCACCAACCCACCAACCAACCAACCAACTAACCAACCAGCCAGCCAGCCAATCAACTAATCAACCAACTAACCAACTAATCAACCAACCAACCAACCAACAATAAACCAATCAACCAACAATCAACCAAATATCAACCAACCAGCCTAAGTATTTTATTAAAAATGAACAGCAGTGAGCCATGACTTACCGTGTATGATCGAGGAGAATCGGACTGTTTCCCAGCATCGATATTAACAGGATTGAACAAAATCTGATCGACGAGGTCATCCCTACTGCCAACTCCCAGAAAATTTCCGCTATCGTCATCCCATACTTTAACTTTCAAACCGAACGATTTCTACAAGGGCATTACAAGGAAACATTTGATATACCTATTTCACGTGGACTTTAGATCAATTAACCGCGGTTTCAATGTATCAAAGGTACGTTACGAAGTATGCGAGATTTGAGAACTCGTATTTACGAACTTTTAATTTAGCATTTCCTAGCGACTTTCGTGTTGTCTATCAATTAATTTAAATAATCAGTACAACTACTTATTTAAAAAAAATCCAAAGTTAAATGCATGTAAATGGCGCCACAATGTATTAACAGTTACGTATAATATCAAAATTGATGCAGCAATCTATAATGACGCCATATATCACGCAATAATGACGTCATTACTTTTATGCCAGTTCATACTTACATTCCACGCTCCAGAAAATTGGTAAGTCAAAGGGTTCCTGATGTTCCTTCCGATAGTTCGATTTGATCCAGGAA